CTACAAAGCTTTGAATAACTTTCTTAACCTCTTTAAGGTCTCCATTTCTTTATTTGTAAAATAAGGATCATAATAGAACTCACAGCACTGGATTATTATGGGGATGAAATGAACGATGCACATCAAGGTCTTAGCTGGCTACTCTTCTGGTTCCACTTTCTGTACTGAAGTATGTTGGCCATCAGTCATAATGGATGAGAGATGACTTTGTTTTGGCCAATTTTTTGGAAGTACATTGTCAGGCCTTTTTTTCCTAGTCTATCTTAGTCTGGAAGCTCTGCTGAAACCTATTCAGCATAATGAACTAAAAAAAAAAAAAAAAAACTCTCTGCCATTGAGTTGATTCCGACTCATAGCGACGCCCTTTGGTTTTCCAAGGTGGTGAATCTTTACAGAAGTAGATTGCCCAGTCTTTCTTCCATGGAATGGCTGGGGGTTTGAACCACCAACCTTCTGGTTAACAGTCAAATGCCTTAGGCACTATACCACCAGAGCTCAAGTCTCCACTGACAGATGGGTGGTAGCTGTGCACTAGGGGTATTAGGCCAGGAATTGAACCCAGGTTTCTTGTATGGGAGGCAAGAATTCTACCACTGAACCATCACTGTCATCTCTCCCACAAAGGGTCACAGGATTTTGGAAAGAAAATATTTGGAAAGCAGAAACAAGAGTCTGGTCTTCTCAAAGCAGATACAGGTTCTGTATCTTCTATCCTTCTGAGACAGTTATTTAGTAGGCAGACTTAGTCTAGTAGTCTGGTAGGAATTCAGAGGTGGAGTTTCCACTTCGACTTTCTTGAAGGTGTATTTGGGAACAGTGCTACTGCAAGGGGCTCATCTCTGAGGGGCACTGAATGACCTGCTGTTGACAGAAAGTAGCTGGCCATGCATGCCTGGGGCATTGAGTCACTCCTGCGGGCAATGACACTCAGCTCCAGCAGATGTCTCTGCAATGCTGTGTGTTCCCTGCCTCTCCCTCCAGAGGGGAGGTAAATGATGCTCTGTTTTTCTATTATTTCTCCAGATGATTTGTTTGTGACAATTCTACTTCAGTTATATTTTGAATGGGGTCAAGCCCAAGGGTATTCAGAGATGGCTGTTAATTGGAACCAGAGAAATAAAAATAGAACCTAACCGTCATTTGGTTGCTCAGCACGACGCTGTGATCTGAAGGTCTTGGGGGAAAAAAAAAATCACTTAGTGGCTCCATGCCTTAGTTTCCCCTTCTGTAAAATGAATAATTTAAACAAAATGTAACAGGGAAATTACGAGTATTTTAAAGATGATGGAAGTGAGGCAAAGGCAGTTTTTATTATTCTTGCGATTGCTTAAAATGTAGGACAAAATTCAATATGCAACACTCAAAAGTTGCCCCATAGAGAGAGCACTTCCTTTCTGTTGAGTGCTAAACTATAGGCTGCTTTGTGGGGGAAAACTGCAACATCTGCATTAGCCTTCTGGGAATGAGCATGGCCTCCAGGAGACCAATTACTTGTATAAGATAATGAAAACATCTAGAAGAAATATGATTTCCATTCTAAGCTTCAACAAAGGAATAGTTTACTGTGCTTTGTGTTTTATAGGCCTTTGTGTATAGGCATCTGTCACAGTGGCTCCTACTCCTGCAGCCACACCAACTCTAAATGCTGGAAGAGACAAGTGTCTCTCAAGTTTTTGAACCCACGCTCTCTACCACGCTTTCTCATGCAAAAATCTTCATCAGCTAACTAATTTCATTTATTTTGTAAAACAAATAGCTATACTGGATTTTTTTTTTTTTTTTCAAATCCCTCCTACTTCTGATCTACCAACTCCCACAAACCTAAAGATTCTGTTACAGTCCCCAGGCAAGGCAGTATGTGCAGTGGTTAAGAGCAGTGTGCAAGAGTATGGGCTCTGGAGCCCAACTGCCTGGGTTCATATCCTTTACTCCTCCTACCAGATAGGTTGTTGTTGTTAGGTACCATTGAGTTGGTTCTGACTCACTGTGACCCTATGTACAACAGCACGAAACACTGCCTGGTCCTGTGCCAGCCTCACAATCACTGCTGTGTTTGAGCGCATTGTTGCAGCCACTATATAATCAGCTATGTAACCTTGTGCAGATTAACCTTAGCTTTCCCATCTGTAAAATGGGGATTTTTACACTCCTCGGAAGAAAGATTGGGCAATCTACTTCCATAGTGATACTGCCTCAGAAACCCAAGGAGGGGTCTCTATGAGTCTGATCTAACTTGACAGCAGTGAGTTTTTTGGGAGCTCTGGTAGCACAGTGCCTAAGGCACTTGACTGCTAACCAGAAGGCTGGCGGTTCAAACCCACCAGCCACTCCTCGGAAGGAAGATGGGGCAATCTACTTCCGTAGTGATGCTGCCTCGGAAACCCAAGGAGGGGTCGCTATGAGTCGGGTCCAACTCGATGGCAAACAACAACAACAACAAAATGGGGATAGTAACATTACCTACCTGGTTGGATAGTTGGGATTAAAATGTTTAGGAGTCCTTGGCATAATAAATGCTTGTCTTTAGGAAGATATGACAGGTTTAGTCAGTTACTGGACTAGACTGATTTGAAGCCCCACCTCCAGGGAATGAATACTCAGAAGGGCATCTCACATGGTATCTAACACTTAATCCAAAACTACAGAATGATGAGTGTATGAATATGAGTTCACACTAAAGATGAATGAAAATCCCTAAAGCTGAATCTAGCAAAACCAGAAGAAAGCCTATAGTTATTAAAGGCAGAGGAAGCTGGTCCCCTAGTGCTCATAGGGCCTTGCCCAGATCTCTCTAAAGATAACATCCACTACTCATTGTGCTAAACTGGTGCACCCATTATTGGATTCAATTCGTGTAACTTCATTTTAAGGTATGTTTTATTATCTCCATTTTATGTCGAAAGAGACAGGCTTATAGAGTTTATACCAACTAGTTAATTGGCAAGGCTGGAATTGGGACCCCGATCTCTGGAACGACTCCAGAGACCATTCTCTTACCCGCTAACTGATACTGCCTTCCAAGATGCAGGCTACTGTCTGAGAACACTGGCCTTGTCAGCTCACTGGTGGCATTAGCCAGAATGAAACCAGGTAACAAAAGCACCAAGGAAAATAGACATTCTTGAGGAAGAAATGGTAATATCATGTGAAACAGCCAATTTAGATCATCAATTCGACAAACATTTACTGAGCACGATTTACTCTGAATCAAGGCACTATGCTAGGTGTTAGAGCACAAAGAGGAGGAGTATAAAGTAGGGGAGCAGACACATACACAGATGGCTTCAGTCTAATATGGCCAGTGGTAAGGTAGAGAGAGGCTGCTATGGGAGTACAAGCAGGCCACTTTGCCTATGTGGAGAGGCCTGCTGAAGTAGATGATTCTTAAGCTGTAAACTACAGGATGGAAGGGGAAGGATGGTAGAATGGGGACTGTTAGCACGGGGGCATGTATGAACATGTTTTAAGTGGGGACCTAGAGGCAGTTTGGCATTATTAAACACAAAGCAGGAGGCAAGCAGTGGTGGGAAATGGGACTGCAGAATGGGACAGCGAACAGATCAGGAAGGGGCCCTGAAATGTCATGCATAGGGACCTGGCCTTGATCCAGACAGCAGTGGAAGGCAGATGAAGGGCTTTAAGCAGGGAGCAGTATGGATAGATTTGTATTTTAGAAAGCTCAGTGCATACAGTGAATGGAGGTGATGCTATAGGGAGTTCTTTTTATCTCTCCAAGGATTGGATTCAGTCATACCAACGCAATCGTCAATATCTGATTATGTACATTTAACATCAACTAAGCATACAGAGCTCTGGTAGCATAGTGCCTAAGAACCTTGACTGCTAACCAGAAGGCTGGCGGTTCAAATCCACCAGCCACTCCTCGGAAGGAAGATGGGGCAATCTACTTCCGTAGTGATACTGCCTTGGAAACCCAAGGAGGGGTCGCTATGAGTCCGGTCCGACTCCACGGCACATAACAACAACAAGCATATAGAAGGAACTCTGGTGGCGTAGTGCCTAAGGCATTTGATTGCTAACCAGAATGCTGGCGGTTCAAATCTACCAGCCACTCCTCCGAAGGAAGGTTGGGCAATCTACTTCCGTAGTGATACCGCCTCGGAAACCCAAGGGGGTCGCTATGAGTCGCGTCTGACTTGACAGTAAAAAACAATCATACAGAGTGTGATGGAGAAAATAAATGTTTTCAACAGTGGCCATATCAGTTACCTTTATCTCAACTTTTCCTTTTCTATCTTGAAATATTTCTTTCATACTTAATCTCAGGAAGCTTGGTGAAAGCAATTGTTGGATCCAGATGGGAGGAAGCAAGGAAGAAAGAGGGGAGAGGAAAAGGCTTGCAGAGGGTCTGGGTGGTCATATCTCCGGGAATTAGATGTGGTCTATGGGAGCAGAGGCGCTCATTTGATTACTTCCATGACTCCATTCTCCTCCAACACTTGGGACAGGAAATACTTAGGATTTTCTTATTTACCCACATTATTTCAGAACCCCATGTTTCTTGAAATAGTTTCTGAAATGCAAGTCTGGTCTCCAGAGGATGCAACAGAGAGGAACAGAGGATCAGAATCTGTTCCCTGGGGTAAGGAGGATGTTTCCATTGGCAAAGGGTATGTTGCAGCTGGGACTCCTAACATTTGGTAGGGACCAGCTGTCAAGAGAGATTGGGAAATTACCTCTCCTATTTGAGGGTATGGGGCAATTAGGGGATCAGGTCCCTTATTATATGCAATGAGGGTATTAAGTGCCTTTGCTGTGAAGGGATGTTTTGGGGAACTTGACTTCATAGGTGCTCCAGTTGTTGGGAATTACGGCGTCTGAGAAAGGTCACTGGCTGTAAAAGCGCAGTATGCAGGGGTACTGTATTGGTGAGGCTGTAAAGACGCCAGGCTGTGGCGGTGGCTGTGGGTGCTGGGGCGACAGTGAGGAGCCTGGGCTGTGGGGTACTGGTTTGGCTGTGCGGGCCGAGCGCCTCTCACCTTTGCGGGCCTTGTCTCCTGGGATGTTCTGGGCCCGCAGCCGCTGGTCTAGGATGTAAAGCATCTCGCCGCCCAAGTTCAAGAAGAGCAGAGGTAGGGTTCGCAGGGGCATGGTGCTGGAAACGAACAATGATCGTAGAGAACCCCAGGGCCTGATAGCTGGTGGCCTGGAGATCCGGGCGCCGCGTCCCAATAGCTTGGTTGCCAGGGCAACGCCGCGGAAAAGAAAAGTAAACCAATCAGAAGGCCGTTTGGTGGGAGGTGCCCCGAAGGCGGATGCTCATTGGTCTGGGTGGAGAAACAGAATAGGGTGCATTAGTGTGAGACGGGTGGGAGACGGGTGCGAGAGGCTTGTTGGTTTTGGCTCTCTACTAGGGAGGGTGATTTTAAGTCATCTAAGCCTGTCGGCAGCGTGAGGTCCTGGCCCGACTTACGGGAAAAACTGGCGGTCAGAGCCTCCCAGCCCTGGCGAAGCAAACCGAAGTTCTGGGCTCAGGCAGGGAGGAAGGGGGCGGGCTCCACGGTTCCGCCGTCTCTATTCACACGGCGGCGCGCCACCCCAGCCTCGCGGCTGGCTTGGGTCTCACCGGCCCATAAGCGAGGGAAACCCGAGCAAAATTTCTTTGAAACAGACTCTGGTCAAACAGATCTGAGTTTGAAATATGACTCTGCTATTTTCTGGTTGTGTGATGGGCAAGTTTTTTTTTTTTTTTTTTAATTGTTGAGAATATACAGAGGAGAACATACCAATTCAACAATCTATACATGTACAATTAGGTGACGTTGATTACTTTCTTCGAGTTGTGCAACCATTCTCACCCATCATGCTTGGTAAAGTAGAGGGTCAGAGAAAAAGGGGAAGATCCTCAAGGAGATGTATTGACACAGTGGCTGCAGTGATGGGCTCAAGCATAGCAAGGATTGTGAGGATGGTGAAGGACCGAGCAGTGCTTCGTTCTGTTGTACATACTTAGGGTCGCTGTGAGTCGCACCTAACAATAACAACAACGTTAACATAAACTCACTGCTCCTTAAATTTCCTGTCTAATCTTTCAAGTTGCTGTTGCCAATTTGATCCCATATCTCACTACTGTGAAGTTGATTTTGACTCATAGTGACCCCTCGGGTTTCCCAGGAGGTATTTCTATGGAAGAAGATTGCCCAATCTTCCTTCCAAGGAGTGGCTGGTGGGTTTGAACCACCAGCCTTCTGGTGAGCAGTCAAATGATGCCTTAGGCACTATGCCAACAGAGCTCTTATAATGTGCACATGCATAATTCCAGGCGGTAGCATGGGTTGAAAAACATAACAAGCTTTATTTCCATTGTATTTTCAATCACCTCATATGCATGTGACAGCTGGACAATGAATAAGGAAGACCAAAGAAGAGTTGATGCTTTTGAATTATGTTGGTGAAGAACAAATATGGTAGTTCTTAAAAGAGCACAATGCCCAAGGCATTCTTTACTGTTGTAGGATGTGACTCATAGAGACCCTATAGCGCAGAGTAGACCTGCCCCATAGGGTTTCCTAGGCTGTAATCTTAACTAGAGAAGCCAGTGCTTAACCAGGGTTAGCAGCCATTGCATCACCAGGGTACTTAAATTCTTTATTAGTTAAGTTAAACTATTGTGTAAAGAAGCTGTCAGAGGATATTTTTGTTTTAAGGTTTAAAGATTATCTCAGTGCAATAGTTTTGGGGGTTCATCCTGCCTCCATGGCTCCAGAAAGTCTGGAGTCCATAACAATTTAAAATTCTGTTCTGCTTTATCTTCCTTTTGATCAGGATTCTTCTGTAGAACTTTGATTTAAAAAAGAAAAAAAAATTGTAATAGTAGCTGGGCACCATCCAATTCTTCTGGTCTCATGGCAAAGGAAGCAGTTGTACATGGAGGCAATTAGCCACACATTCCATATCCTCCTCCTATTCCTGACTCTTTCTTTCTGCTGCTCCAGGTGAATAAAGACCAATTGTTATACCTTGGATGGCTATTGCAAGCTTTAAGACAGTGAGCAATATGAAATGAACTAGGAGATGGAACTGAAGCACACAACACAATATTAGGCCAGTTTGCTGGGATGTCCCGTGAAACCATGACCCTCAACCTCCAATCCAAGAAGCCAAATCCCAGAGATACTTGGTTATACTTAAGTAGGTTGTATCTAATCAGACAGGGTGTGTGCATCAGGGTAGTATCCTTTCACCACATTTACTCAATCTGTATCCTGAGCAAATAATCCAAGAAGATGGACTATATGAAGAAGAACACAGCAACGGGATTGGATGAAGACTCATCAACAACCTGTGATATGCAGATGACACATCCTTGCTTGCTGAAAGTGAAGATGACTTGAAGCACTACTGATGAAGATCAAAGAGTAAAGTCTTCGATATGGATTATACCTCAACATAAAGAAAACAAAAGTCCTCACAACTGGACCAATAAGCAACATCACAATAGAGGGAGAAAAGATTGAAGTTGTCAAGGATTTCATTTCACTTGGATCCATACTCAACAGTCATGGAAGCAACAGTCATGGAAGCAGCAGTCAAGAAATCAGATGTCACACTGTGCTGGGCAAATATGCAAAAGATCTTTTTAAAGTATTAAGAACCAAAGATGTCACTTTGAAGACTAAGGTGTCCTTAACCCAAGCCATTGTATTTTCAATCGCCTCATGTGCATGTGAGCGCTGGACAATGAATAAGGAAGACCAAAGAAGAGTTGCTGCCTTTGTGGTGCATTGTAGTGTTGGTGAAGAATACTGAAAATACCATGAAGAGCAAACAAATCTGTCCTGGAAGAAGTGCAGACGGAATGCTCCATGGAAATGAGAATGACCAGACATCATCTCTTCTACTTTGGTCATGTTGTCAGAAGGGACTATTCCTGGGAGAAGGATATGCTTGGTAAAGTAGAGGGTCAGCAAAAAAGGGTGAGACTCTCAAGGAGATGAATTGACAGACAGTGGCTGCAATGATGGGCTCAAGTGTAGCAAAGATTGTGAGGCTGATGCAGGACCAGACAGTGTTTCATTCTGTTGTACGTAGAGTCACTATATGTCAGAACCAAGTCAATGGCACCTAACAACAACACAAGCAGTCTCAGCAGCTACTTTTTTTTTTTTAAAGGAATTGTTGTATGTTGTATATTGTAAATATATCTATCAGACAATTTTTGCCAATTCAACTTTTTACAGGTGTACAACTTATTCACAGCAATTACATTCTTGGGCAAGGTTTTTGAACCTTGACTTCCTCATGTGTAAAATGGAGTTAACACCTTCTGTAGTCTGTTTGCCCTCCCTTCACAGCCAAACGCTTGGAAAGAATAATCTTCGCAACCTGCAATTCCTTAACATCTCACTCCCCACCTTATTGCGGCTGGGATTCATTTCCCTCCACCCCTCTGAAACTGCTTCACCTGGAATATTTTGGTCCTGCCTTAACGTGTCAATATCAGATATCATACAATAGCTGAAAGCTGGCTGCCCAAGGCTTTCTTCATTTGGTGTTTTTGCCTGGTCTGTGCACCATTTTACAAGGGAATTTAACTCTGATAGGAATGTAATAAAAAGTTCAGCATCATTGCCTTTTGCTGCTGTTAGCTGCTGTTGAGTTGGCTCCTGACTCTTAGTCTGGAAGCTCTGCTGAAAACTGTTCAGTATCATAGCCACACACAAGCTTCTACTGACAGATGGATGGTGGCTGTGCATGAGGTGAATTGGCCAGAATTGAACCCAGGTCTCCCTCATGGAAGGCAAGAATTCTTTTCCTAGCTCACCACTGCCTCCATGTTTCACACCCAGCTTTCATGATTTCATGTTACCTGCCTAGGTCCTAAAGACATAGGAGTTTTCTGTCCTGTAGACTCCTTTAGTTTCTCAGACTTTTTTTTTTTTTTTTCTCCCCCTAGGCAGTGTGTGTAGAAATGAGAACATGGGTTTTGGAATCAAGTCAGATCTGGCCTGGCTCTTACCAGCTATGTGAACTTGGCTGAGTTTTCTAACCTCTCTGAGACTCAGCTCTCACTATAAAATGAGGATAATCATGTCAATCAATGTAGGGGGTGAGAGTGATTTTGAAGAACAGCTGAAAGAATATGTCTAAAACAGCACCTAAAACAATGCCTTTCCTGCAGGGCCTGCCCGTACATTTGTTCTTTTCTCTATTTAGCAACTCTTTTTGTCTCCTTCCCTTCTGCTAGCCCCTGAAATGTTGGCACCTAGCCCTGCAGCACAGCACCTCTAAGTCCTGCCCCATAAAAAGCCTTCCCGACTATTTGTGGAGGTGATAATATAGAATAGTTGGATTCTGAGCCTCTCAACTCCTGATTCTGCAGGATCCCAGGCTCTCTGCTTACCTTCCCCTCAAATCCAGCAGTTCCTCCTGGCTATGGCTCAGCTTCTCCATTCAGGTTGTGTATGACCTCAGAGATCACCCTTCCTATCCTGACCCAAGGGAGCTCTGGTGGCTCAGTGGTTAAAGCATTAGGCTGCTAACCAAAAGGTCAGTGATTCAAACCCACCACCTTCTCTGCAGGAGAAAGATGAAGCAATCTGCTTCTGTAAAGATTTACAGTTAGTTCCACTCTGTCCTAAAGGGTTGCTATGAGTCGGAATTGACTCCATGGCAGTGGGTATCCTGAACCAGACACAGACAAGTTGCAAGGACTGCGAGGCTACAAGCTGCACTACAAAAGAGGCAAGGAAGGCAAACCCCACCTTTATCACTAACTGCATAGCAAGGATCAACATGAATCCAATTCCCAGCTGCAAGGAAATCAAGGCATCACCTTCTCACTCCTCATTGCCAGTCCCTAATGACCCAGTTGTATGTCAGACCTCATCCCAGGCTATCCTGAGCTAGGTCAAAACATCCTTGGCCACCTGAGGCAGGATGTCAGGGAACAGCCATAGGATCTGCAGGCTGCACAACTCCCTGCACTTCGGACCAGCTGGCCCCTCCACTCCCTCATCCTCTGGGACTAGGTTATAAACTAGGGTTCTATTTTTCTTCTTCATCGACTGCCCATGCAGCCTTTTCCTATCACTCAGCTGCCCAGAGCTGGATCTGCACAAATCAACTCTACTGCCTGACCCCGCTGGCTCATTGCCCCTGTGGGCTCACTAATTTTCTAGAATGGCTCACAGAATTCAGACTATTACTTATTCTTAAGGAGCCCTGGTAGCACAGTGGTTAAATGCTCAGCTGCTGACTGAAAGGTCAGCAGTTCAAACCCATCAGCTGCTTTGCAGGAGAAAGATGTGTCAGTGCGCTTCCATAAAGATTTATATCCTTGGAAACCCAACGGGGCAGTTCTACTTTGTCTCATAGAATCGCTATGAGTCAGAATTGACTTGCAGACAATGGATTGAATTTTTTATTATTTATACTTACAGTTACCCATTTATTATAATCAGAAAGGATACATGCCAAGACACTTCAGGCAAGGTTTGGAGGGTTCCTGGCACGGGGCCTCCATTGTCCCCAGGGCTGTGCTGCTCCCTCTTCTGTGAATGGATATTCTCAGCAATCCTGGAAGCTCCAGAGAGCTCCAACGTCCTGGGTCCTCTAGTCATTGGGATGTCCACGACTATGTGTGACTCAGGCCTTAACAAGGAGCCATAGTGGTACAAATGGTTAAAAGCGCTTGGCTGCTGTGCTAGTTAAGGTTGTGTGTCAATTTCGCTGGGCCTGGTTTTGACTAGCTGGGCAGCTGGATGTAGTTATTCCTCATGATGAGACTGGTAATCAACTCCATGGTGGAATCTACAGGAACAGCTGAGTAGTTGCTTTAGGGATGTGGTCTGCTTCCTGTATATAAGGAGAAGCGTTGAGAAGGGAAGGGCTGCAGCTTTTGGCATGCTCGAATCCTGCGTGTAGCTGTCGTCATTCAGCAGCATGCTATGTTGTCTGCCGATGTTGGCACTGTTAATGGACTTGAAGCAGTGGTCTGCCATGTGGTTTGGTAATATTGGGACTGTGCCTTTTTACATGTAGACCTTAGGTTTGTCAGCTTCAGCAGTCAGCAGCTGCCTGAGTGAAAAAAGCCTCCAGCTTCAGTGGGCCAGGAACAAGAGGCAGAGCTGAAGCCCAAGGTTTAGGGGTTTTCACTGAGATCCTAGAGCCTGGTGCTTTAAACTTGGACTTCTAGCCCAACTGTAAGAGAATAAATTCCTGTTTGTTAAAGTCACCCAATTTGTGGTATTTTCTGTTTGAGTGGCTCAAAGTAACCAAAACAGCTGCTAATCAAAAAGGTGTGGTTTGAATCCACCAGCCACTCAGGGAGAACGAAGAGGCAGTCTACCTGTGTAAAGATTTACAGCCTGTGAAACCCTATGAGACAGTTCTACAGGGTTGCTATGGATCAGAATATGAGTTGGCCAGACTTTGTCTCTTATACTTTGGTCATGTTGTCAGAAGGGACCAGTTCCTGGAGGATATCGTGTTTGTTAAAATAGACGGTCAGCAAAGAAAGGCAAGCCCCTCAATGAGATGGACTGACATAGTGGCTGTGACAGTGGGCTCAAGTGTGGCAATGATTGGGAGGATGGCACAGGACCAGGCTGCTCCATTGTTGTGCATGAGGTCGCTATGAGCTGGAGCCTAATCAATGGTATCTAACGAGTCGGAATTAATTCCACGGCAGTGGGTTTGGTTTTGGGGCCTTAATGCATAGTTATAATCAATCCAGTCAATGAATATGCATGACTGCCTTAGGTGACCTCCCTCCCTTCCCCTCCTGCATAGCCCCTACTTGCCTATTTTAGAGAAACAGAGCACTTTAATTACTTGGTTATTTTCAGAAAGCAGCGTCAAAGGCCCAAAACAAGTTATCTCATATTTGCCCTTGGCCTTTTTCTTCTACACTCCCTTCCTGGGCAATTTCACTAACCCTTGGGGCTTTAATTACCATCTAAACATAACGACTCCTAGCCCAGAGCTCTCTACCGAGTCCTGGACCTAAATTTCCAACTACTCTTTGGACATCATTTTTTTCTCTTTGTCTTTAATGGCTTCCTTCTGAGAATGAAGTCAAAAGTCTTTTCTCCAGAACATGCTGTATCATCTGGTGTCTGCCTACCCCTTATCTCATCTCTTCCCACCCTCCTCTTTGCTCACTCAGTTCTGGATACAGTTCTTGTGTTCTTCAAACATGTCAAGGATGTTCAAGCTTCAAGCCCTGGTGTTTAACTTGGTGTAAATGGGTGGGCTTTATGGGGGAACGGGTGCCCCTAAACCAAAAACCACCACTCATTGCTGTGGGGTCAATTCCGACTCATGGTGACTCCATGTGCTAGAGCTGCTCCATATGGTTTTCTTGGCTATAATCTTTACAGAAGCAGTTTACTAGGCCTTTCTTCTATGGAGCTGCTGGTGGGTTTGAATCAAATTTAGCAGCTGGATTGATAAGCAGTGTTTTGTTTACGTGTGTAGTTTCCTGGGGACAGGACTTGTAGCTTTTATCAGATTCTCAGTCTGAATATGATACTCCCAACCCTAACCAACAAACTGCTTGCTCTCCCCCCTTCCCATCTACCCTCCACATCGCTGCTGCCTAACTATCTAAAACACAGACCTATTGCTATTGTTACTTCTTCAGCTTTAAACCTTAGCTTTCTCTCTACAGTGTAGTCTCCTCAGCCTAGTAATGTGAAGCTTTTGACAGCCCAGATGTAGCTCACCTTTCCAGCTTTATTTCTGAGTCCCTGCTCTTTGGGTACAGAATACACCGGTACACTTTGCCTTTGTACTTGTACTTCTGCCTGGTGACGTCCTTCTCATCCTTTAGGGCCCAGTCCGGCTCTACAGCCAGCCACCACTGCTGTGGGCTCAGTCTCAGTTCCACTGAAATGCATGCTACATGGACGACAGGCAGTTTACCTGAGTATGTGAGGTGTGTAAGGTGAGTGTGTCCTCTAGTGTGTGAGGACAAGGATTCAGCCTCAGATAACCCTGGGATTCCAGAGCTGAAGGAAGGAATGAACTTCTCCTCTTCCTCCCCCTACCCTGCCTGCTTAAGGCAAAAGAAGCCCCTTCTCTCATCAATGTTCAATGCAGAGGGAAATAACTGTAACAGAATTTATTTATTTTCTTTGAGTGTCTCTGGTCTAGCTTCGGAAGGCCCCTCTGGGCTCTTCTGGCCTTGTTTCCGGGCTGCTGCTGCTGCAGCTTTTAAGGCTCTTTTTTGCTTCTTCAGCTTTTGAGCCTCTTGGAAAACCTAGGGGTAGAAAGGCGCAGGAAAAACTTTGTAATCCTATGCAAAACTTCAGACATGGAGCAGGTGGGGTGGGCACTGTCTCCCCAGATGGTTAACTCTAGCCTTTCCCCACAGGGTTGGTGACCTGTGACTTCCCCGGCCCATGCCAATCCCTGGGTCGGTTCCATGCCTCTACCAGAAAGAGACAACCCCTCCCTCCTGCTCCCATCCTGCTCCCATCCTAGCCCCAGAGTACGCCAACAGCACCAAAGCAGCCCCTCTGACTCGTACCCGAATGCACAGTGCCTTCTTGGTCACCCAGCGGCGGTGGGCCCTTCGGTAGTAGAGTGGAGGGAAGGTGTACTCAATCCCCAGCTCCTTGCATGTCTTCTCAAAGACATCATAGTTGGTCTTACGGAGGTTTTTCAGCATTTTCTTCCTCTGGTCGATACTCATGAGCAGAAAGCGCTTATGGGCTTTGTCCTGTAAAAGAGTCTGTGTTTATTAATAACAAATAACAATAATAGAGTCTTTAGTATTTTGTAAATGGGCGGTATGCCACTTCATAGTTACAAAGGATGGTCATTTCATTACTGCACTGGGACTTCTTAACCATCTTATATGATATCAGTACACTCTGAGATAGCTATTGTCAACGTTACTCCCATTTCAGATTAGGAAACAAAGATCCAAAGACATTAACTGATTGACAAAAGGTCCTAGGTGGGTGCTGAAACTGGGACTTAAATCCGGGTCTACTGATCTGACTCCGAATCTCATGTTCTTTTCCCTGTGCTACCCACCCTCAGCTTCTCCACCTGTCAGCAAACTGTCAGCTGGGTGGAGGGGAAGGAAGACTTGGTGCTCTTCTTAGAGACACCTCCCTCCCCTCCCCCTCCAGCCCAGCACTGCTCTGTGAGGAATCTCTGCATTGGGGTTGGTATTTCATGGCCCAAAGGAACAAAACTGATCTCCAAGGAGCAGGCTTAGCCAGCTCCAAGGGAATGTAGGGGCCAGGTATGATGCTGGAATCACCAGCCACAACCATGTTTTTATTAAAAATAACACCAACTGCCTAATTATAGCATCTCTGCTACACACTGGGCTGAGCTGTGGCCTAAGGGTTAAGAATGTGGGCTTTAAACAAAGTACAGGCATGTGAGTTAAACATTTACCTCAAGTAGACACACGCCCTGGAGAGAACAATCATGGGAGAAGGAAGGGCTGCTTATGCACAGGGAGAAAGCTCAGGGGGCAGGAGAGTATGGAGGGATGGACACTGGGAAGTGGTAACTATGGGGAGGAAGTGGGAGGGGAGCTGTTGCATTGTGGTAAACTGTGGTCAATGACATGAGACAAAGTGTATGTGAACTGCTGTATGGAAAGTGAATTTGCTCTGTAAATCTTCACCCAAATCACAATTTAAAAAAAAAAAAATGTGGGTTTTGAAGCAAGACTGCTTGATTTCAAGCCCCAGCATATCACTTACTAGCAGAATGTCTTAAGGTATAACTCTATGTTTAGATTATTCCTCTGTAAAATGGGATAAAAAGATGGTTACAAGGGTTAAATGAAATGACATGTAAGGTATTTAGCATAGGGCCTCCAAACCAAAAGAAACCAAACTCACTGCCATTGAGTTGATTCTGACTCATAGTAACCCCTGTAGAATTTCCAAGGCTGGCTGTAAATCTTTATGGAAGCAGCCTGCCTCATCTTTTTCCTGCAGAACAACTGGTGGGTTTGAACCACTGACCTTTTGGTTAGCAGTCAAATGCCTTAACCACTGCACCACCAGAGTTTCTTTAGCACAGGGCTTTATATGTAGCATGTTATGTTGGCTGCTATTATTATTTTACATAGTCCTTGCAATCCCGTAAGCAGGTACTATTATTATCCCCACTTTATAGGTAAGAGAACAGGGGCTCTGTTGTGTAAACTAACTTCTCCACACGCACACAGCAAATCAAATGGCAGTGCTGGGATTTGAACCCAAGGCCACCTGACTGCACTCATGCATTTAACAAATCTTTACTGAACACCCACCATGTGCCAGACACTGACCATGCTGTAACGTTTATGCTCTTAGCCACTGGTGGTGCTCAGCACAGCCCTGTAAGGCTCCCATTTCTCCACTGGAGGCAGGAGGGCTATGTGCTCCACTGCAGTGAAGAGGTGAGCACTCTGTTGTTGCATCCATCTGACTTCTCAAGCTGCTTCTCTAGACCCAAAGCCCTTTATCCTCCAGACTCCTCTTTGCCAGGCTGATGTTTAGCTGTGAGGGATGCCCAAGATTTACCTTTCGATGTTTCTGCATATGTTTTTCATAATTGTGGATCTTGACGGTCAAGGCGACAACTGAAACCACAAACCACAGAGGATGAGAGCTGGGCACAGATGGAAGGAAAGCACAAGGCCTGGATTATGTTATAAGAGCTCAAGGATAAACAATCACCACTGCTCTTGGTTAGCTCTCTAGAATTCCCAAAGTGCTCTCAATGTCAAGTTCTCAAAAGACTTTGGATTATTTTTCATTTAAAAATCAAGTTTAAGAACGGGCACTTAACCTGATAAATGTTATCTTCCCCAAACCAGTGCAAATATCATTCTTAATGGCAAAACTCTAGAGCATTCCCGTTAAATTCAGGAACTAGACCAGAATGCATACTATCCTGGTTAGCTCTTGACACCGTCCTAGCCAGTGCAGTGAGAGAAGATTTTGCAACTGTCAAGGCTCTAATGTAACACAACCACTGCCATGGAGTCAGATCCGATTCACAGCGACCCCTCCTTGGATTTCTGAGGTGGTATCACTACGGAACTAGATTGCCCAACCTTCCTTCCAAGGAGTGGCTGGTGGGTTTGAACCGCCAGCCTTCTGGTTAGCAGTCAAATGCCTTAGGCACTACGCCACCAGAGCTCCTCTCTGTTTCTTTTATTTTGGTTTCAGAATTATCAGCTCCCATTCACCTCCCAAGGCCCTGGAGTATCTTTTCTTCAGGTATTATTTTGTTTGAGTCCACCTGCATCGCAAAGGGAAAAGCAGAAAGTGGCTCCAAGGAGAGGCTGTTACTACAGCAGACCCTTCTCAGATCACACACTGGGTTCGGGGAGCACTGCAGAGTGCAGTATGAACCTGGGCTCTGACCACATGGCCCCTTCACACCACCTTAGTTGAAGAATGGAGAGGGAGATGGGCTTTGCTTCCTGAATTCTCTAGAGCACGTACTATGCTAGAGGCAACAGGCCTTCAGAAAGCTGGGTATTAATGAAAAGAGAAGCACCGATACTTGTGGTTAAAGAGGACTGTAGTTATCACCTTGCTGGTGTCTTGGCCAACCAGACATCTATTCCTGCTATCCTGAGAGTTTGCGTGTGATAATGGAGAACCAGATGAGGTGAGGTAAGCAGCTCTTCACAGCTAAGGTGACCCCAAGCCTAGGGTTTCTGGAAGCCAAGGGAAGCTGCAACTCATCTCAAAGGGGCTATGGAGGATCCAGAAGATAGGCCTCCAGACCTTCTCTATGGGGATCTAGTACCCAGGGTGGGCTCACCAGACCTTAATCCCTAGCACAGGGGGAAGGAAAGAATGAAGGCAGTGGGGAGAAAACATGCTGACCTCATGTGGGCCCACTAGTCTACCCCACATGTTCCCAGTGGTCAGTGAAAATAAACTGTACCCAGAGCAAGGGGGGAGGGGAGGAGAGGAGGCAAGTTGGGGAAGGGAGGGAAGGGGAGAAGGGAGAGGAAGGGAAGGGGGAGGGAGGGGAGGGGGTGTAGGGGAAGGTGGGGCTTTCCCTTACAGCTAATCAGGACTACTGTCAATTCCAGTTTGAAAGTAAAGAAGGAACATTACCCCCTTGGGAATATGCCCAGAAGCCATGGCTCAGGAGCCAGTCTGCCTGGGCTTGAATCCTGGCTTTTCCATTTTTAAGCTACATGTTCTTGGGCAAGCTACTTAACTCTGCCTCAGTTTCTCTCTCTGTACAATGAAAGTACAACAGTATATATCACATAGCATTGTGGGGATTAAAGGAGATAACACACATAAGACTCTTAGCACTGTGTCTGGCACACCTTGGAAAATGTTAGCTCTTGAAATTAATATAATAGAACTTATCTATAATGAAAAGAGCTTTCCAGTTTCCAAAGTGTGCTAACAGTCCCTAGTTTCTCACAATCCCACATGAGGTGGATGAAATGATCTCTGCTGTGCCCTCATAGTTCTCTGTTTCCAGACTGGGAAGCAGAGGCTCAGAGAGGGCTGGTGCCTTGCCTAAGATCACACATAAGGTGTAGAACAAAGCAGGACCTGTACACAGAGCTGTGATACTGAGTCTAGTTTTCATTATTTTTGGTCCTTCATGTCTCCTTTTCTAGGCACATCTAGCCCCTAGTGTGCTTGTAGGATCAACTACCAGCTAGCAGAGTCCCTTCACACCCTCATTCCCCATGGGCCCCTTGACTAACTTCGAGCCTCCAGGGAGCTGGTGTCCTCAGGGTTTGCCACGACCTTATTCATCAACCTCTCTTGCTTGATTTTTAGCTTCTCCTTCTGTTGACAAGAGAATAACAGAGGCAGAATTGGTGAGGTCTGCCACCCAGGAATTGGCCCTCATTCCCCCAAGGTCAGTCATGGCTGCAGTTACCACAGCAACTAGGCCCTCAGGACACAGGGCCTGACTTCACTCTGCTCATGGGGCTAGGCACATCCAGGTAAGCCCAAAGCCAATGCCACTGACAAGAGAAATGTCTTGTTGGATGAATGACCCTGAAGCTTGTTCATTCATTCATATATCAGATATTTATTGAGTGCCTACTGTTTGTCAGGTGCTAAGGGTACAATGAAGAATAAAACTCTTCTCCCTCAAGATGCTTTGGGGGTACTGACATGTGGACAGTGAATGACAGTGGACTAAATGTGATCTGAGAACCGCAGGAAGGGAATGCGCATGGGGAAGGTGTTAACCAGGTATCAGGGTAGGAGGGGATCTCAGCAGAGAGGACCAAGAGAGGCCAATGTTGATAGCAGGACACTCACCTGGTTAGCCATTTCCAAAGACAAGAGTCTTTTCACGACATCATCAACCCTGTAGAGACATTTGGGGGGCGGGAGGGGAAGGCAATGCTCTTTCATTTTAGTTTGAAATGCAAGGTGATTGACAATTTCTTCTACAACAAATTAGTCTATCTGGAGGTGGGGAGCCATTTCCCAGGGATTAAAGTCAGCATGGATTTGGCTTGCTGGGCTAAGAACATGGAACAATGTGACAACTGAAGGAAACTGAGGGTATTATGTTGAGCATTCCAGTCTCGTCACAGGGGTAAAGGGAGGATTTTCATTTTAGCTAGAACATGGTTCAATGTCTTGAGACACTTCAGTTGTATAATCACTACTTCTTTTCCAATCACACTGCACAGTGGGGAGATAGAGGGACTGCCCAGCCCCCACTGCACAGGAGCTGAGCAGGACCTTGGCCTTGGTATCAGTCAGCTCTGGATTCAAACCCCAGTTCTACCCCTTAGTAGATGTGTGACACTGGGCAGCTTGATACTCTATAAAATAGGGACACTAGACACTATTTCCTCCCTCATAGCACTGCTGTGAGCATCAGGACATCAGATGTTTCTAGAAAGACCCACTAGGCATGTTAAGTTTTTGGTATCAGGTGGTTGGTATGGGGTCCTCACCCAGAGTACAGTTGAGCTCCATGTGTCCCTGCTGCCCACTCACCCTCACCATGCTCTCTATCCCTTTCTATAAACAAGCTTCAGATACAGCAGCCCAGGCCTGAAGCCTCTCTGTTCCCCTACCTCTTCCCCATCTTGGCAATCCTCCCAGGGTCCCCTGCCACCTCAAAGAGGTTTCTTCCTGCTTACTTGTCAATCCCAGGGATGTTCTGGTAGTCTTTAAGCAATGTGGAAGGAGGCGGGTCATCTTCTTGGCTGGGCTGGACTGTGACTTGAGAAGAAACAATGATTATAGAATTGAAGCATCTCGAGACAGTCTGGACTCTTGGCAGTGCAGGGACAGAAGACACCTGGAGTCAGCTCTCACTGGCTGTCCTCCCAGACATGGAGCATCTCATCGTTCCTCCCACTATGAGATATCCAGGGTCTCAAGCAAGGCACCAGATGTCTCTGGGCTGTTTTCTCCTCTGCAAACCCCGTGGGCACCTGTCTTCATATTTCACGGTAGAGTGGAAGGCCTTTCCATGCCATCTATGCCTGCTCCTCTCACCCATCTGTTTGGCCCTACAGTTATTGGGTTCCCCACTAGGATTGGTCTTCCTGGGGACAGGAATGAATATGATTCCTCTGAATCCCCTGCAACTTGCCTGGTCCATGGCACACATTAGAGTAGGCACTCAACAAATACTTGTTGGCAGACTGCATGAATGAAATAATGGGGTTGAGGAAGGAACCCCTAGTTTTAACCAGTTGCTAACAAGTCAACTTTGACTCATGGCGAGCCCATGTGCATCAGTAGAACTGTGCTCCATAAGGTTTTCAATGGCTGAGTCTTCGGAAGTAGATTACCAGAGGCTTTTCTTCCTTTTCTGGGTGGACTTGATCTCCAGCCTGTAGGTTAGCAGATGAATGCCTTAACCCTTTCACCACCTGGGGACTCCCCACTAACTTTAGGATGTCTGAAATGTAAGCATCACATAGAGATCATAGTGAATGAACCCTGCCACTCCTTACAGGTGATGGGAAGGAAGGGGAAATAAATTTCTCCTTGCTCTGTCATAAGCAAATAATATTAATAGCAAAAGATACTTTTCATGTATTATCACTGAATCCCAATAATAATAATCTTCTCAGATACTTTTACACTCATAAACAAGGCGGGCGGGCGGGAGGGAGGAAGGGAGAGAGACAGAGAGAGAGAGAGAGAGAGAAAGTAGCTTGTAAGAGGAATCTTAACCACTATGCTTTATACTGCCTTGGGGATGCGAAACCACATCCTCCACCTCAGAAGGGTAGACACAAAGGGAGGCCTGCCAGCCTTGCACTCCTTCTCTCTCTTGCTCTCGCAATCTTCACTCTCGCCACCTCCCAAGCAGGTTTCAGGGCCAGGGCTTTGTGACAAAGTTGGCATGGGTGACTTCTGCCCACCCCCATCTTGTGGCTCTACCGTCGCCTCCGTTCCTTTGGCCACTCCAAGTCCCACCCCAAGACCTCCTACCTGGTTTCTGGATGGCAAATCCGCGGGTGAACTGGAGGACGAGACCTACGCAGAAGGGAGAGCGGATCTCCTTAAGTAGTCTAGCCTTTCTACACTACACACCACCACCCACTGCCATCGAGTTGGATCCGACTCATAGCGACCCCTTCTTGGGTTTCCGAGGCAGTATCACTATGGAAGTAGATAGCCCAACCTTTCTTCCGAGGAGTGGCTGGTGGGTCTGAACCGCCAGCCTTCTGGTTAGCAGTCAAATGCCTTAGGCACTACGACACCAGAGCTCCTACAGTTCCTGCATACTCTTCCTCTGTGCTGTTCGCGTCTCCGCCCCTAACCCCATTTTTTTCCCCACCCGGCTGAACCAGTCTCTCCCTCTTTGTCTTACTTCTTCCCCTATTCACTACCCTTTCTCTCTTACTCTGCCCCTGCACTTCTTCCCTATTCTCGCCTTCCGTGTTCTCCATCTCCTCCGAACCCTATTTCCCTCTTCCTGCTGCCTATTTTGCAGCCGCTCACCTCGAGGCTGCAGGCTCCACTGGTCGGAGGGAAGACTGGCTCTCCCTCTGTCTGACAACCTAAGGACTTGGGCCGGGGTCACTGTCTGGGTCCGAACAGAACTCAGTGCCCTCCACGCTGCTCTCAGCATGGTAAATTCTGACTCCAGCCAGGCCCACGCCTCAGCAGCGGTCTCCTTCTCATTACGGACTAGGTTACACGGGTGCCGCCATGTTGGCTCAGGCGCGACCAATCGAATACAGTCGCGAGACCGGAGCTGAAAACCGAGAAAATTGATTGGACAGGCAGGCCTAAATGATGACGCAAAGCATTGGGTGGAGCTGAGAGATCTGATTAGCTGTTGGGCGAGATTGGGGTGTGGTCATTGTCTAGCTCTCTAGTTGTTACTGTTGCGGAAAAACAAACAAACAAAAAAACCCAAACTCATCGCCATCTAGTGTATTCCCACTCATAGTGACGCCTTTGGGTTTGTTGTTGTTATGTGCCGTCAAGTCGGACTCGACTCATAGCGACCCCTCCTTGGGTTTCCGAGGCAGTATCACTACAGAAGTTTGTTATTGTTATGTGCCATCGAGTCAGCCCTGACTCATAGTGACCCCTCCTTGGGTTTCCGAGGCAGTATCACTACGGAAGTAGGATTGCCCAACCTTCCTTCCGAGGAGTGGCTGGTGGGTTTGAACCGCCAGCCTTCTGGTTAGCAGTCAAGTGCCTTAGCCACTATGCTACCAGAGCTCCAGGAGGCAGTAAATCATTACGGAAGTAGATTGCCCATTCTTCCTATTGGGGAGTGGTTTGTGGGTTTGAACTGTCAACCTCTGGTCAGCCAAACCAAACCAAACAAAACTTACTGATGTCCAGTCGAATCCAACTCATAGGGACCCCTTCTTGGGTTTTCAAGGCGGTATCTCTATGGGAGTAGATTGCCCAACCTTCCTTCTGAGGAGTGGCTGGTGGGTTTGAACCGCCAGCCTGCTGGTTAGCAGTCAAATGCCTTAGGCACTATGCCACCAGAGCTCCCTTCTGCTCAGCAGTGATGCGTAATACTAAAAAGCTGCTTTTTTTTTGGGTATGTATCCCATCTTTAATCCCTCCTTGCGATCCTCGCCTCTCAAACAACAACAACAACAACAAAAACCCCAAAACCTCTCTGCTGTCTAGTTGATTCCGACTCGTAGTGACTCCCTTTGGATTTCTGAGGCAGTAAACCATTACAGAAGTAGATTGCCCAATCTTCTTTCTGTGGAATGGCTGGTGGATCTGAACTGCCAGCTTTCTGGTTAGCAGTCACATGTCTTAGGGACTAGGCTACTATGCCACCAGAACGCCTGGCCTCTAGTCCTGGTTATTTAAGAAGCTTCTATTGGCCTGTCCCAACTTTCTTCTCTCCCCAACCTGGTATTTTTTTCCCCCCTCACCAGCAAAGCCCAGGATGGGGCTCTGTAAGAACTACTGGGTTTCAGCCTTCATTTCTGGCAGACTTGTAGGTTGGTGATTAAGGTCTCTGACTTTGGAATCGCAGCCCTGGCCTGGAATTCAGAGTTTAGCCATTTATTCACTGTGTGACCATGTCGCAAGTCAGGCAACCTTTCTAGGTTTCAGTGTACTTATCCATCAGTTAGAGGTGGGGATAATAGTATTGATCTTTTAGGCTGTTGAGAGGATTACATGAGGTAGTTGCATGCAAAGTACCAGTATATAGTAAACATTTAATAAATATTAGCTGTAATTATTAATATTTGTGGAATGAGGGTTGATCTTTTCAAAGGTCAACCACCATGTCCCACTGCACTGATACCCTCCATGAACCCCTACCACTGCTCTAATTATCAGTATTTCAGTCTCTGCCATTAGAATGGGTACCCACTGAGGGTGCACTGAACTGGGCCATTTCTTAATCTTTGCTGCCAGCACAGGGCCTAGTTGCTAGGTGAGGTTTCATTGAATGAATGACTAAAGAAATAAATAAACAAATGAACAAATTTGAGAAGTACTTTGACTGCTCCACCACTCACCTGTCAGTTTGTTGTTCTGTGGTGGCTTGCGTGTTACTATGATACTGGAAGCTATGCCATCAGTTTTTCAAATACCAGGAGGGTCACCCACGGTGGACAGATTTCAGTGGAGCTTCCAGACTAAGATCAGGAAGAAGGACAGGGCCATCTACTTCTGAAAATATTGGCCACTGAAAACCTCACGAATAGCAGTGAAATAACTGCCGATATATTACTGGAAAACTTTATGAATAGTAGTGAAACATTGTCTGATATAGTGCTGAAAGATGAGTAGTATATCAGACAATGTTTAGGTTGGAAGGCACTCAAAATATGACTAGGGAGAGCTGCCTCCTCAACACAGCATTGACATTAATTATGTGCATGGAGTAAATCTTTCTGACCTTCATTTGCTGATGTGGCATAACTTAAAATGAGAAGAAACAGCTGCAAACATCCATTAATAATTGGAACATGGAATGTACAAAGTATGAATCTAGGAAAATCAGAAGTTGTCAAAAATAAAATGGAATGGATAAAGATCAATATTCTAGGTGTTAGTGAGCTAAAATGGACTGTTATTGGCCATTTTGAATCTGACAATTATATGGTGTATTATATTGGGAATAACAAATTGAAGAAAGTGTTGCATTCATTGTCAAAAAGAACATTTCAAGATCTATCCTGAAGTATATTGCTGTCAGTGATAGGGTAATATCCATATACCTATAAGGAAGACCAAGGAGCTCTGGTGGCACAGTGCCTAAGGGATTTGACTGCTAACCAGAAGGTTGGTAGTTCAAACCCACCTGCTGTTCCATGGAAGGAAGATGAGGTAATCTACTTCTGTAAAGATTTACCACCTTGGAAACCCAATGGGGGTTGTTATGAACTAGAATTGACTTGACGGCAGTGGCTTTTTTTTTTTTAATAAGAAAGACCAGTTAATACTACTATTATGCACATGTATGCACCAACTACTAAAGCCAGAGATGAAGAAATTGAAGATTTTTACCAACTTCTGCAGTCTGAAATTGACCAAACTTTCAACAAGATTGTGATAGTTAAGTTGTGTCTCAGCTTGTCTGGGCCTGGTTTTGAGTGGTTGGGCAGCCAGTTATTCCCTATGATGAGACTGGTCATCAACTCCATGGTGGAATCTACTGGTGCAGGTGAATAGCTAGCTGCCTTAGGAATGTAGTCTGCTTCCAGCATATAAGAAGAAGCATTGAGAAAGGTCTCTCTAGCTTTTGGCACACTCTCTAGCTTTTGAATCCTGCATGTAGCTGAGTTGTCATTCAGCAGCTTGCCATATTGTCTGCTGATCTTGGGACTGTTAATGGACTTGAATTAGTGACCTGCCATCTGCTTGATAATTTTGGGACTGTGTCATTTTACTTGCCGACCTTGGGTTTGTCAGCCTCAGCACTCAGCAGCTGCCTGACTAAAAGGATGCCTCCAGCTCTGGTGGGCCAGGAGCAAGAAGCAGAGCTGAAGCCCAAGGTTGAGGGGCTTTCACCCAGCTCCTAGAGTTGGCATTTGAACTTGGACTTCTAGCCTCCAAAACTGTAAGAGAATGAATGCCTGTTTGTTCAAAGCACCCATTTGTGGTTTTCTGTTAGAGCAGCATAAGAGGTAACCAAAACAAAAATGTATTGATAATTACTGGTGATTGGAATGTGAAAGTTGGAAACAAAGAAGCATCAGTAATTGGAAAATATAGCCTTGGACACCACGTGATAGAATTTTGCAAGACCAACAACCCAATGACTTATTCATTGCAAATAAGTTTTTTTTCAACAAGATAAATGCCAACTATACATGTGGACCTAGCCAGATGGAATATTGTATTAGAGCTTAAATTCTGAAGCACTTGGTTTGTGGGAGGCTGCAGTGGGAGCCCTAACTTCATTTTGAGTCTTGACATAAATTCAGACCCCATTTGAGTTCTTTCTGATGTTTAAACCAGCGTTGTGGCTGTGCATAGACAAGTGCTGGAACACACGTACAGAGGGGCAGTTAACTCTCAGGAAGAGTGTGGTTGAAAGCAGATTATGTTTGCACAAAGAACTAAGGAACTGAGTTGCCTGAGTGTGTCCGTTACTAATTTAAATTAAAATTGGTGTCCTGGTGTTTTGTAGCCATCTTGTAGCTTTAACTCAGGCTGCATGGCCATGAATCATATGCAGACCACCACGTAGCCAGGTGGTCAAGCCCCAGAACCAATCCTGTAACCCTTTTCAAATCTTCAATTATGTATATATCTTAATCATGGAACTTTCCCTGCTTCTATAGTCCCACCTGTCACAGTGATGAATTGATTTGCCACCAATAATGATTTCCTTTGTTTTCAATCATATAATTAGCTCAATGGCTGTGACTCAGTGGACTCCATTCAGCTCCATTTAGTATTGTACACATGCTGATGGTTTCCCTTATCCTGGATGATTATCTTTGTTTTGTCTTTGTTCCATCTAAGGCTTAATAAAAGAGTGTCTATTGAGTGGGAAGAAAAACGTGAAACAAAATTCAAAAACACAATAACGACTAGAATTACTGGTCAGATGGAGTCTGATGGGACCCTCAAGACTATGGCCCTAGGATACACTTTGGGCCTGGGATAAAACTCCCAACAGTAAGTAGAAAGACTTACATGCAGAACACCCAACCCAGGGTGAAGCACCCACCTACTCTATGGAGATACATCCCTTGGAGCAACCAGCCATGGAGCATTAGAGGGGTAACATTTACATGGAGGAAAAGCTGGACAGACAGGAGTGCAAAGCTAAGGCACAGGGATGGGGGGGGGGACACTGGGAAGGGAGAGGAGAAGAGTGGGTTAGGGTTAGGGATGGTAATTGGGGAGTGAAACCAAATGTACACAAACTGTTGAATGTAAAATGTATTCTGCTCTGTAAATTTGCACCCAAAACACCATTTAAAAAAAAAAAAAAAGACATCAGACGTTTGCACTGGGAAAGTCTGCTGCAAAAGACCTCTTTAAAGTGTTAAAGAGCAAAGATACCACTTCTAAGACTAAGGTGTGCCTGACTCAAGCTGTGGTATTTACAATCACTTCATATGCATGTGAAAGCTGGACAATGAATAAGGAAGACTGAAGAAGAATTGATGGATTTGAATTGCGCTGTTGAGGAAGAATAATGAAAATACCAAGGACTGCCAGAAGAATGGGAGCTCTGGTGGCCTAGTGCCTAAGGCATTTTGACTGCTAACCAGAAGGCTGGCGGTTCAAACCCACCAGCCAGTCCTTGGAAGGAAGGTTGGGCAATCTACTTCCGTAGTGATACTGCCTCGGAAACCCAAGGAGGGGTTGCTATGAGTCAGGGCCGGCTCAAAGGCACATAACAACAACAACAACAACAACAGAAGAATGAACAAATCTGTCTTGGAAGTAGTACAGTGGAATGCTCCTTGGAAGTGAGAATGGTCAGACTTCATCTCACCTACTTTGGTCATGTTGTCAGGAGGGACCAGTCCCTGGAGAAGGATATCATGCTTCGTAAAATAGAGGGTCAATGAAAAAGGGGGAGACCCTCAAGGAGATGGATCGACACAATGGCTGCGATGATGGGCTCAAGTATGGCCAATATTGTGAAGATGTGCAGGACCAGGTGGTGTTTCATTCTGTTGTACGTGGGGTCGTTATGAGTTGGAGCCAACTTGATGGTACCTAACAACAACAACAACAACAACATCTCTATCAGCTGCCATGGAGTCACCTTCTAACTCAGGTGACTTCATGCGTAGTGGAACAAAACCCTGCCTGGACCTGTGCCATCCCCCTGGTTGGTTGTGTATTAGATCATTGTGATCCATAGGGTTTCATTGGCCAATTTTTGAAGTAGATCACCAGGCCTTTCTTCCTAGTCTGTCTTAGTCTGGAAGCTCTGCTGAAACCTATTTAGCATCACAGCAACACAAACTGTAGGCCTTCATTGACAGGTGGGTAGTGGCTGCACATGAGGTATACTGTCTTGGAATCAAATCCATGTCTCCCATGTGGCAGGTGAGAATTCTACCACTGAACCACTGCTGCCCCACCCTGACTGCTAGGGCCCTGAAAAGAAAAGAACAGAGACTCAGGCACACTCAAAAGTTTCTCAAAAAAGAAGAAAAAAAACACTTTAAGAGACCAAAATTACGTAAAACAAGTACAAAATGTTAGTGGGTAGGGCTGGATGATGCATTCTTAAAGTGTGCAGATTGCCTGGGAAGCTCAGCCCACTGGGACAGGACATGGGGGGAGGGGTGCTGGGGATCAGGGATAGGGGAGACTGAAAGGAGCCTCTGGCTTTTCTGGGGTTGGAGTAACCTAACCTTCTCCTCTGGGCAGCCCAGGATCCTTAGGGGCAGACCCAGAAGGAGCAGTCCCAGGAAGCCCTAGAAGCCTCCTATCCCCTCCATCCCATGGACCCTGAGTCCCTGCAGCAGAGGGAAATCCAGTGGCCCAAAGACACAGTCATCCTCCTGGCTTGGGGATGGGGGAACAGGAGCCCCCAGAGGGCTGGTATGGAACCAGAGATTCTCATAGGACTTGGGACTGGGGGTGAGACCTTCCAAGAGGGGCTGGGTGGAGTCACAACGGAGGTAGTGTCCTGGCCCTGGGCCTGTGGGGCTGCCCAGCACCTGCCCGTAAAAGACCTGGTCATTGGTGTTAGGCTGGGGCTGGGGCTGGGGCTGGGTGGAAGCTTCTTTTGGTACCCCCTGGAGCACATAGGCCTGAACCAGGGTGGGAAGGCCACAGGTCCCCGAGCTGTTACTGGATTCCCAGGGCCCAGGCTTCTTCTCTTCCTCCTCCAGCACCGTAATCTTGGCAATAGGGGGCATGCCAGGGTCCCGAAGGCTGGGCAGCTGGAAGGTCTCCTGGACACAAGAACATGAGGCAAGACGATAGTGCATTTCATGATGTCTGCCCTAGCCACTGCCCTTTCCCAAGTTGGGCCAGTGGTGGGGTCGTTCCTGCTGTTTTCCTGGAACTCAAAGTGTTACATTTGCAACACCCCTCTGAAGTGCCTGACACATGCTGGCTGCTCTACAGACTCACCACAGTGACTCTTCCTAACAATTCTGTGATTAGTTCCGGTTCACAAGGAGGAGACTAGGGCTCGAACTGGCGGAGCTGTGATTCAAACTCAGTTCTGTTTCACTCCAGAGGATCTTGGTAGTAATTGATGAGAGGACCTGAGTTCTTGTCCTCCCTTCACTTTGGGGTTGTGCCAACACCTCCACCCCACTCCCTGCTCCCTTCAGGCTTCTCACCTCTGCCATGATGGTGGGCACCCAGGCGCTTAGGCTGCTGTGGGCTGGGTCTGGAACACTTGGCCAGAGGTGATTCTTCCTGCTGGAGGAGGAAGCAGGTAAGGGCTGGGCTCAGGGTGCCCTCTCGTCTTCCTATCCTTCCTCCCACTTACTCCCTTAGTGCAAAGAGGAGAAGGTGGAGGGTTGGGACTTCCAGACAGATCCCTAAGGCCTGGAGGGCTGGGAGGGACTTAGACTAGTTTGCAGTTCCCTCTGGGTGTTGTTGTTATGTGTCATCAAGTCAGACCCGACTCATATAGTGACCGTCTTTGGGTTTTTGAGGCAGTATCACTACAGAAGTAGATTATCGAACCTTCCCTCTGAGGAGTGGCTGGCGGGTTTGAACCGCCAGCCTTCTGGTTAGCAGTCAAGTGCTTTAGGCACTACGCTTCCAGAGCTCCTAAAGAGATGGCCCACTCTACCTGGCAGGGAGTTACTGGTGGGTTTGAACTGCCAGCCTTGCGCTTGGCAGGCAACTGCCTTAGGCCTGAGGCCATCCTCTAGGGCCTCCGTGTGGGTAGTGGAAGCCACAGATCAAATCTCTGAAAGGGACTTACCTGGGACTACAGCAGAGCCAGGCAGCCCCACAGAGGGAGATGAGCGAGAGCAGAAGGCCAAACAGGCCCAGGAGCATGTGCAGCTCAGACTCGTCTGGGGTGAGGGGAAAGCCAGAAGAGGTTAGAGCGCATGCCTGTAAGGTCTCCTCCCTTAGGCTGGGATCCCAGGGCAGATCTACAGTAATGGGGAGTCTTTGGGTGGGGCACCTGGGGCACCCTCCCGGCACCCCTTTGTGCCTAGCCCCTACCTCTCCTTACCCAGAGCCAAGGTCATCAGAGTGAGGCCTGTATTGTTGGTGGCCCCGGCCTGGCTGGTGGCCATGAGGTGGACATGATACAAGCTGCCAGGTTCCAAGCCGTGGAGAACAAAGCCCCAGGAGGAGGCATTCAGGACGGTGGCTGGGGATTGGGAAGCATGGTCAGCCTGGGCCTAGATGCTGAGGCTCGGGCTCCCTCCATGGTTCTTGAGCACCATGCCCCTGGGCTTTCTGGGATAGACTCACAGAAGGACTTGTTCTGAGCGTTGGTCCAGAAGATGGTATAGTGGAGAAGGGGGCTCTTCCCTAGCTCAGGGACCTCAGGCACCCACTCCAGCTGGGCCCAGGTCTTGCCTATGTGCTTTAGTTGCAGCTCTGGGACACGGGGTGGGTCTGCAGAAAGACAGGTGCAGGGGCTGTCAGGAGCAGGGCAGGGTGGAGAGCCCCATTAAACTCCTGAAGTTCCAACCAGACACTAGGACTGCACTGCAGAGGGGTGAGGAAAGAGAGTCCAGTTTCTATCTTCTCAATGGTCTCATTTTTCCAGGAACTTTGAATTCCATCTACCACTATGGCTGAGTCAAGATTTGAACCTGGTTCTGTTTGACTGCATAGCTTCTACTTGATTTCTGCCAGGCCTGATTTTGTCTGACTCAGAACCACTCACCCTCTTGTTTTTTTTTAAATAATGGAACAAGTCATGAATGAGCATGTCATCCTTGCTCAGGAGCCATGCTAATCTTCTCTGTAGCATTCCAACTTTAGTATATGTGTTGCCAAAGTGAGCACTGCCACTTACCCTCTGAATTTATGCCAGAACCTCTGATTTCTGTCAGATGTGACACCTGATTGATTTGTGCTAGGCTTGATTGGATTCTGCCAAGCCCACTGTACCCAATTTCTGTCACCCCACCACTTGATTTCTATCCAGCTGCTTTTCCAGGGAACATATGTAAGCTAGGGGTCATTTTAGGATTGAGGGGAAATCCCCTTGCCAGGGCCAGAGGTAGGGGAGGAAAGAAATGCTCCCTTATAGTCCTGATTGTTGGAGTCCATACTGGGCTTGAAGAGAAGAGGATTCTGGGAAGGGGCCTGGTGGCTGACAAACCCTTTTCTTGGGAGTAGGCATAGATGTGCTGGGAAGGTCCCATGACTTCCTGGTACAGAGGAGTCACAGCGATCTCATAGAGCTCAAAGGGCCTGATGTTCTCTGTGAAAAGAAAATCAGGGAAGTGCTTTGGTTAGGGGCTAACTTCTGCTGATGTTGTTGTTGTTGTTATGTGCCGTCGAGTCGGCCCCGACTCATAGCGACCCCTCCTTGGGTTTCCGAGGCAGTATCACTACGGAAGTAGGATTGCCCAACCTTCCTTCCGAGGAGTGGCTGGTGGGTTTGAACCGCCAGCTGTCTGGTTAGCAGGCAAAACCTCTGCTGATAGTCAGGAGCTAACCTCAGATCTCTCGTCAGGGCTAACCTGGACCACATGATGCTGGCCTAATCTCTTCAATCTCTTCTTCAGACAAATCAGGGAAGAAAAGTATAAGCAAGAGTTAGAGAGGGGGCAGGGTTAGGGCTTCAGAAAGAGAGGATCAAGTTAGACTGTAGGAAGAACTTCCTGATTCAGAGAAAAGGGAAGGATCCAGACAAAATAGATCAATGAGATGTCATAAAAATGAAATACTTTTATTCATCAAAGAACTTTATCAACAAAATGAAGAGACAATCCGTACACTAGGAGAAAAATTTTCAGGAACCAGATACCTGATAAGGGTCTAATATCCAAAATATGCAAAAATTTCTACAACTGAACAACAAAAAGACAACCTAATCAAAAATGGGCAAAGGGTCTGAACAGACATTCACCAAAGAGGATATTCACATGGCCAGTAAGTACATGAAAAGATGCTCAAGGGAACTAGCCATTAGGGAGATGCAAATCAAAATCACAATGAGGTACAATCTTACCTCATTAGAACAGCAATGATAAACAAAACAAAACAAAAAACAGGAAAAACAAGTGTTGGAAATTAGCAGCCTCATCCATTGGTGGGAATGCAAAATTATACAAACACTGTGGAAAAGGTTGGCAGTTTCTCAAAAAGTTGAACATAGAACTACCACATGACCCAACAGTCTCAATCCTAGGTATATACCCAGAAGAACTGAAAGCAGTAACGCAACCAGAAATGTGTACACCAGTCTTTACTATAGCACTATTCACAATAGCCAAAAGGTGGAAACAGCCAAAATGTCCATCAACAGATGAGTGGATAAACAAAATGTGGTTTATACACACAATGGGATATTAAAACCAAACCAAAAACCAAACTCACTGCCGTTGAGTCAATTCGATTCATAGCGACCCCTTCTTGAGTTTCTGAGGCAGTATCTGTACAGAAGTAGATTGCCCAATCTTCCTTCCGAGGAGTGGCTGGTGGGTTTGAACTGCCAGCCTTCTGGTTAACAGTCAAATGCCTTAGGCACTACACCACCAGTTGGGGACTGTTCTTCACTAGGGTGGTTCAGACTGCCCTTTGCCTACTGTCAGACAATCAGTGACCCCCTCATTCTTTCCTCCTGCCCCTGCCCTTCACCCACCTGCCCACACCCACCTCTGCCTACCTTGTAGCAAAGTCCCTGTAATGCTCCCATTGTGCTCCATCCTCCAGGTCTTATTGCTGCCGCTGGGGCTGGGGGGACCCAGGCCCCACTCAATCACATAGCCTTGAGGCTGGGGGTTGGGGGGCTCCCAGCCCACCCAGAGGCTGTGAGGATCTCGGGCCACAGCATGGAGTCTGGTCAGTGGTGGCCCTGGAGAGAGTGGGAGACAGTGAAACGAAGGTAAAAGAAGTGCAGGCCCTAGAGTCAGAAGCCTGGGTTCAATCCTGGCTTTGCTACTTACAAGCTGGGGGACCTTGGGTAATTGAACATCTGAGCCTCAGTTTCCTCATCTGTAAAATGGAAATGATGATAAAAGTTCCTGATTCACAGGATCATGGTGTGGTTTAAATAAGATGATGTGTGTAACAAGCTTAGCATGGTGCCTTGGGTAAAGTAGTACTTGATAATAATAATAATAGTCAAACCCAACTAAACCCGTTGCTGATGAATTGATTCCAATTCATGACAACCTCATGTGTTACAGACTAGAACTACTCCATAGGGTTTTCTTGGCTGTGATCTTTGAGGAATCAGATTGCCAGGTCTTTGCTCCACAGGTTCTGTGGAGTAGCTAGGTGATTTGAACTACCAACCTTTAGGCTAGTAGTCAAGTGAAAACAATTTGTGCCACCCAGGGACCTGTTGTAATAACAACAGCTAAAGTATATGTTGTTGTTAGGTGCTGTCGAGTTGGCTCCACTCATAGTGGCCTTACATATAATGAATGAAATGTTGTCCAGGGGCATCCTCACAGTCGCTCTGTTTGAGCCCACTGTTAAGCTATCTCATTGAGGTTCTCCCTCTTTTTTCTGATCCTCTACTTAACCAAGCATGATGTCTTTCTCCAGGGATTGGTCTCTCCTGCTAACATGTCCAAAATAAGCAAGACAAAATCTTGCCATCCTCGCTTCTAAGGAGCATCCTGACTCTACTTCTCCTAGATAGATTTGCTTGTTCTGGCAGTCCATGGTATATTCAATATTCTTTCCCAACACCACAATTGAAATGCATCAATTCTTCAGTCAATATAGACTTTGGTATGTGGCGGGCACAGTTCTTGATAAATGTTAATTCACTGAGTCTTCTAACAGTCCCATGATGGAGGTACTATTTTTGATCTCGTTTTATCCATGAGAAAACGGAGAGACTGAGAGGTTAAGTAGCTTGTATACAGTCATCCAGATAGTAAGTAGGAATATTTGCTATTATAACTGCTTATGATCATTACTGTTAATATTAGTTTCACCTTGGGTTCAAGAGAGCCTGGGGGTAGTGGTGGCTGATCCCCTGATAATGAGCAATTAACTCAGGAACCATGTTCCAGGTGGAAAAGCTTAGAGCTTTCTCTCCCAGCTTCCTTGGCAGAATTGACTGTGTGTGTTTACGTGTGTGGGCATGTGAGTGTGAGTGCCTGTGTGTGTGTGTAGAAATCACTAGCTTAACCTGATTCTGGTTAATGATAATAACAGTAGCTAACACATATTGAGCAATTACTTTATGCCAGGCACATGTCTTAGTTCATTTGAATCCTCACAATAACACTTTGCTGTAGGCACTGTTATCATCCCCATTTGCTAGATGAGTAAACAGAGGCCCAGGGAGGTTAGAAACTTGCCCAGGTCACACTGTTAGCAAAGGACTAGCTTTGAAGCCAGGCCCTAGCCTCAGAACTCACGTGCTCAGAACTCATGGTGCTGCACTGCCTGCTAGCCCCCTTTACCTGAGCTCTCCATGAAGACCACCGGTGTGGGGTGAGAGGTCCCGCCAGTGTTGTAGGCTACAAGGGCCACCTCCCGGGCTTCTGAAGGCAGCTGAAAGGTGCAGCTTAACTCTGTGGTGTTGCAGAGGAATAGGATTTCCCCAACCTGGCCCGAGGGTCTCCAGGAGACCAGGTACCCTTGGATCCGCCCGCTGTCTTCCTCCAGGGGCATTGGCTGTGGTAGGAATAGGAGGGAAAAAATAAAGGAAATGTACATATTGTCTTGAGTGAGGGAGAGCTTCTAGGTGGGGGTGGATGGATCACAGGACCTGAGCTCCCTCCTTCCCTATGTTCCCCTGTGTCGAGTCCTAGGAGGGAAGCAAGGAAGAAGCAAGTTGGTGCTCACAGCAGGCACTTAATTATCCATTGAACCAAACTTTGGGGACACAGCCAAGTCCTGCTTTGTAGTCTCTTCAAAAAGGATGTTCTCCAGCTTAATAGGCAAAGCGCATGCAAATCACATACAAATATATCAAGGTCCTCCCAGACCTGTGGGATTCCTGAGCCCTGGCTCAAAGCCTCTGTCTGGGATGGAGGAAGTCTCAGGGGTGAAAGGATGGCCTTCAGAGGGGAGTCACCTTCCAGAACAGCTGCACATCCACAGTCCTGAGGTCCAGCTGCTTCTGTTGCCACCTCGTGTCCAGTCTGACGATGGGGGCTGTGGTCAAAGTGAGAGGAGAGGGTGTCCATCAGGGAGGGTCCTGGAGGCTGGATGGGGCATGAAAAGCCTCTCTCAGCTCTCACCACCCCCTTACCCCGTTCGGTGGTATTCAGCACCAGGCTGGGGCTCCAATCACTCCAGTAGCCTGGCAGGGGTGAGCGGATGCAACGCATCTGCAGGGTGTAGGCTGTGGCTGGGAGGAGGCCACAGAGCTCGTGGTGGTGGGTCTTGGAGGGCACGGAGGCCACCTGGCAGGAGGTTTGGCTCTGAGCCTGGATGCCTGGATGCATCCAGGGCCAGCTTGAGCCTATACATACCCTTCCTTCAGTCACCCCCACCCCTGGCTCTTGAGGTTACACTCTGCCTCACCAGGGCCCAGCTGGCTTCTCCAAGCTGTGGCTGGTAGCGCAGCTCACACTTTTGTGTGATGAACAGGCCTGGTTTCCATGGCTCCCAGTGCAACCACAGGCAGCCTGGCTGGGCTGGGGCCTCCACAGGGCTGGGGTTCAGGGCCTCCAGTGTAGGGGGCTCCAGTTTCACTGCAAGGAAGTTGGTTGTCAGAACTGCTTCCTGCTCCACCCTGTAGGTCTCTTAGCTCCCTCTTGTGTCTCTGTGGCTCCATTTCCCTCCCTGAGTCTCCATCCAGGGGTTCTCTGTGTCTTTCTCTCTCTGTAGATGTCTCTGCATCTCTATTGACCCATGTCTCCATGTTGTTTGGGTCTGTCATTAGATATATGTGTCTCTGTTTCTCACTAGGTCTTTGTTTCATGCTTGCCCCAGGGCCTTTGCACCAGCTGCCTGGAACACTTTCTTCCTGGATAACCACATGGCTTGCTCCCTCATCTCCTTCAAAGATCTGCTCAAATGTCATGTCCTCAGAGAGCCCTTCTCTGACCATCCTATTAAAATAGCAACTGTCCCCATCCTGCTGTCCCTAGGCCCCTTCCCTGTTTTAATTTTCCCCTCACACTTACCCCCATCTGATGTTATATTTTATTTATTTTGCCCGCTAAAATGTAAAGCTCTGAGAGCAAGATTTTGGATGTTTTGTTCACTGCTGTATCCGCAGCGCCAGTTATAGTGCCTAGTACATAGTGGGCACTTCAAGAAATTAATTATTTGTTGAAAGAATGTGTGAATATGTATCTTTGCCTCTGGATCTCTCCCATGTCTCTGTGTTTGTCTCCATTTCTTTACCTCCAACTGCTGTTGGAGACAACTCCCCTGTTGTCTCTGTCTCCACCTCTAAGTCTTCTAGTATCTCTTTGTCACTGGGTCCCTGTTTCCCTCTCTGTGCCTCTCTGGTTCTACCCATTTGGGGGGGCCTCTCCCTGCCCCCACACTCAGAGTCACCCACCGAGGTCCATGGGATCAAAGCATAGCTTCTGGGACAGTGTGGTCCCCAGAGCATTCTCTGCCTGTACCCAGATGCCCATACTCTGGTATAACTGCAGGTGTTTGCGTGGGATGGAGCAGTGACTCTTCCCAGCCTCAGGTACACAGTCCAGAATGGGCTCTTCTTGGGTCTGGCATTTGCCCCGGTTCCTGCCAAAAGGATCAGGCTTGAGTGGCAAGCAGAGAAAAAAGGCAAAACCCTACTCATGTCCCATCCCAGGACCCAAGGGAGAGAGGTTGAGGCAGGAGCCCCTACTCACTTGAAGCTCTTTAGGGTGAAGTTAGTGGGCAGGTAGGGGTCTGGTCCTGGCTCCCACTGGCAGATGAGGCTGTTGGTTGTGAGGTTCATGAAACAGGACAGGTTGTATGGCACTGGGGGAGGATCTGTGTGGGGTGGGGAGAGGGTGAGAGCTTTGATTGGGGCCGGTCAGAAAGCTCTGGCCAGGACCAATTTGCCTCATTTTTCTGCCCTGAGTCAGTCCCTCTGGGGTCACCTTGTCCATCCCTCTGCCTCCATACAAACTGAGCCTGAAGGGACAGGCTAGGGGAAGTCAAGTTACAGACATGTCTAGGGACAAGCATCACAGGACCCCAGCATCCTGGTGGCCTCCTACCTCCAATCTTTGCAACTCTAGACCCCCTTTGTCGTGACATCGTAATGCCTGGGTTTTCATCCTGATTCTGTCATTCGTTAGTCATGTGATCTTGAAGTTTATGAACTGTTCTGTGCCTCAAATTCCTCATCTATAAAATGGGAGTAATAGTAATATACCTACTACCCCCAGAGTTATTGTGGGGCCTAAATGATTCATTGAATGTAAAGTACTTAGAACAGTGCCTGGCACATAGTAAGTGCTGCATAAGCGTTAGCTGCTAATATTATTGATTCTTAAACAAGAAACTTGGTCTTCCTCCCTCCCTCCCTCACTCCTTTCCTTCCTTCCTCCCTCCCTTCCTTCCATATGCCTCACATTTGCACAAATGCTATCCTGTTCAATTTGAACAGAGGGCTGACACTGGGGAGGCAGAGAAGCTGGGAGCAAGCCCAGCTAGCAGAGAATGTCTCCCTGGATGTGCCCTTCTATGGTCAAGGAGCTGGGCTTGCTCAGCAGCCATATAAAGTAGTGGTTATGGCACTGGCTTTAGAGCCACACTGACTAATAGAAATCTTGGCTCCATCCTTATTAGTATGTGACCTTGGGCAAGTCACTTACCCTCCCTGAGCCTCAGTTTTCTTATCTGCAAAATGGGGTAAAAATAGTACCCATTGGTAGGAAAGATTGCCCGGTAGAATGCATATTAATACAGACTGAGAAAATACTGACAAGTATCTTCTTAGTATTGACAGCAGGACATTGGAGGCAGAGTGGGTGGATGGCTGGAGGGACTTACAGCCTGCCTGCAGCTCAACTTGGTCCAGGATCTGCAAGCTGTTGCCCCAGTATAGGCAGCAGGAGAGATGCGCCTGAGTGTAGTTGAGGTGGGGCACGGTAATGGTGGATTCCTGGCTCCCATCAGGTAGGCGCTTCTGTCTCCCCCCAGGGTGAAGCTCTGATTCCAGTTTCCACAGAATCTCTGACTCCAGGTCCAGGTGGCTACAGTTCCGGCCGATGATGCAAGAGGCCGTGACGGAATCCCCCAGGCGGATGATGGGGTCTGAGAGGCGGATGCGCCCGCATTCTGTTAGGCCTGAGATAGAAGAGAGTAGCCCATGGATGCCTCCTCTGCCTGACAGAATTGGGCTATCAGGCAAGCTGTGCACTCCTGGACTCAGGGTCAAGGTTCCTGCCTCACTCCCTAGGCATGGACTGGAGTGGAAGGATGTGTGTAGGGACTAGGAGAGGTTGTCAGATATGAAATAGAGTGATGTACTTGTAAATGTTTAACAACCAGCTATTCAGGGGAAAACAGACTCTGTTTGTAGTGTATACCACCGTCCATAGTGTAAATACTCCCACCATGTATGGCTGATTTCAAGCTATCAATCTGAAATTACTGAATGTAGAGTTGTGAAGAGATGTGAGCCAGCTCTAGCACACTATCAAATAGACTAGTTCCTTCCCCAAGGATGGTGAAAGCAATAATTAGAATGATAAGCATCCCACAGCCACAGTAAGCTTTTCAAAATTCAGATCTGATTGTGTTACCCAATCTTGACCAGAACTCTTCAATGGCATGCTACTGCTCTGGAAGGCAGAATGAGGTTTGTTTCTAAGTGGACATGGATAAGAACATGGATGTTGGAGCTAGACTGCCTGGCATAAGGCCCGATTCTATCTATCATTCATTATGTGACCCTGGCATGTTGTGGAGACTTTCTGTGCCTCAGTTTTCTCATCTGTAAGATGAAGATAAAAATAGTCCCTACTTTAGTGTTGCTAGGAGGATTAGATTTGTTAATATGCTTAAGAACAGTGCCTGACATGTAAGTATTAACTGTGATGATTAGGATAAAACTAAATCTTTACATGGCTCTTGTGGCCTGGCCCCTGCCTAATCCAGTCCCAGCTCAGACTATCTTTTCTCAGATCTGGCTGCTCTGGCCTTCTTGCTGTCCCTTCAAAATGGCATGATCTCCCCAATCTTGGGATCTCCTCCCTCTCTCCTTCTACCCTCCTTCACCTGGTTAACATTTAGCTGTCCCGAGAGAAGCAGACTAGGCCCTTACTAACCAGACCAGGCCAAGATTCCTGTATTTTCCCAAAGCTGTTATTATCCTTTATATTTGTAGAGTCATGTGATTATTTGCTTGTCTGTTTCCCTAGCTGGACCATCCTTTTGGCATGGCCAAAGATCTTGTCTGTTTTGCTCATTACTGTATTCCCAGTGGCTAGCGCAGAGTAGCCCTTGGGGAGTACTTATTAAATATATAACTCAGTAAGCACTGCACTCTGACTCCACTGCTCTCTAAGAGGGGAAGCAACTTGCCCAAGGTCATAGAGCAAGTTATTGACTCTCAACATGGGTGTCCTACTGCTTCACAGACTCAGAATTTCATGCTGAAAGGAAACTTGCAAAGCTGTTTTCTTCAAAACTCTACCTAAGGCTGTGTTCTCTGTAGCAGAGCTTGGCTGGCCTGCTTTTCTATGGTCTGCGAGCTAAGAATGGAAGTTAAGGGGTTAAAAACACACAAAAGAACACTCAACAGAGACTGTATGTGGCCTGCAATGTTACTATCAGACAAAGTTTGCCAATACCACCTCCACTGCATTCCCTGTCAGTCCTGGCCTCAGCTTTCATACCTCTGAAAATGGGAAGCTCATCACCTCTCAAAACAGAATTCTCATTGTTGGAGAGCTCTGCCTGTGCTTCCTTATTTCAGGGTGAAACTTGCCTACTGTGACTTCCACTCCAATCTCCTCACTGCCTGCCAAGGCTGCACAGAACCCAGAGGTTCCTCTGACAACCAGGTAGAGATTTGCAGACAGGGCTTGCATCCACCCCAAGTCTTTTCCAGGCTGACCAGCCTGGGTCCTCTCATCATTCCTGATGGGTGAGTGTTTGCCTGATGGATGGGGACTCAGCTGCTCCACATTGGTGGCCCAGTCTTTGGTTTCTTAGTATTCTCTAGGAATCCCAGGAGCAATAAGATGGACAAAGTAGGGAATGATTTCATCCCTCCTTCTCCCAAATAGCTCCTCATATAACTCCCTCTCCCCACCATATCCCTGCCCCTACCACACTCACTTCCTGGGAGCAGAAGGAGGATCAGAGCAGCTCTGGTCAGGCTCCAGGTCCCCAACCCCATAGCGCCAACTTCACTTCTCACCTGGAGGCAGAAGGGATTGGTTGAGAGTATGGGCTTTGGATTCAGAACTGACCTTACTCCTTGCTCTGTCACAGTGTGGTTTTGGCTTGGTTACTTGACCTCTCTGAGTCTCAGTTTCTTTTTGTCTACAGTGGAAGTAACAACAGTGCATACTGCACAGAGCTTTGGGAGGAAGACATGAAATGATACACGTCAAGGGCTTAGCACAGAACCTGGCACATAGGAAGTGACTCTGAGTGACAGTGCCTGTTATCATCATACCTGCCTTCCAGGAGAGAAGGGGAAGGGAGCAGCAAGGAACAAAATTCTATCTTCTTCCCTGATGTTAACCAGGTCCCCTCCAGAAAGCAGAACCTGAGGCAAGGGCTTTCATGCAAGTAGTTTATTTTGGAAGATCCCAGGAACAGAGTAAGGGGGTGGGAAGAATGAACCAGGGGAAAAGGGAATGTCAACACAAGGCTACGTTATCAAGTTTGTCACCTCTGAGGGCAACTGGGGCTCGATCCTGTTGGGACCTTGTGAGTAGCCATGTAGAGCACACCTCAGGATGTCTACCCAAGAAACAATTTATCTTTTGGGTGGGAGGGATGATGGGAACATTTACTCACTGACTCCTGGCTCCCACTGGTAAAGGGATGCCCCCTGGGGAGGCATTAACACTCTTATACTTCCTGATGATGCATGCATGAGTCTCAAGGGGGTTCTCCTAGGTGACCCATGCCAAGGTCTTGGAGTGACAACCCCATGGAGCAGGGGTGTCAGGAAGCTGGCTGTGACAGTGATGACTGGAGGGAAAAGTGAGCTGCGAGAATGTGAGGTGAGGCACACATAGGGTCTAATTTACCTCCATTCTGGGCAGAGGCCCCCGGAGGCCCTCTGGGGCCAGATGTATGGTCTTGGATGGAGGAAGGATTCACTCCAGTCTTAGGAAGTGTGCAAAGAGTGGCCACTGGGGTGAGCACTTCCACCCCGGTGCCACTTTCCCCTCTATTGCTTCTAGTCTAACCCCCTATCCTGCTTCCATTGGCCCAACTTCAGGCCCAGCTTATGTCCACTGAGGTACCATCTCCACCCTCTCCAATGACTCCTATCCAGAGTGGGCATGGAAACCCCAAGAGCCTGGGCATCCTCCCCATGGTACGCTGGGTGTTGGCATGTTTGGCATCAGCCCCTGGTCCCTTTTGGCAGCGTTAGGTCTCCCTGACCCCAGCTGAGTAGGAGTTGGGGCCTGTTAGAGCATAGCCACACTCTCAGGGGATGTGATGCAGAGAAGCTGGGAGTTCAGCTCTGAGATAGAACTGGTCTGAAGCCCAGCTCCTCCACTTACCTGCTCTGTGACCTTGGACAAGTTACTTCACATTTCTGAGTCTCAGTTTCCCCATCTGTGAAAAAGGGATAACAACAGCACCCACCTCAGGGATTGATGTGAGGATGAAAGGAGACAAGCTGTGACAAAAGCATGCATCCTATGCCTGGCATGGTGTAAGCACTCAAAACTCAAAACTTCTGGCTCATATCGACCCTATAGGATAGAGTAGAATTGCCTCATTGTGTTTCCAAGGCTATAAATCTTTTTTTTTTTTTTTTGGTTATTCTCCACAATTTATTCGTGGTCCCATTTCCTTTTCTTTTGAACCTCTTCATATTGTTAGTAAGTCATTAGGCAAATAAAAAATTGAAATAACAAACATAACCAAAATGCACAGGCAGTGGAAGAGAAACTAGATGATCGGGACCTTTTAAAAATTAAATTCTTATGCACATTGAAAGACTTCTCCAAGACGATAAAATATTTGGCTATGACATATCTGGCAAGGGACTTATCTCCAATATTTATAAAAAACGTCAACACCTCAACACCAAAAACACAAACAACCTAATTCAAGAATGGGCAAGAGACATGAACAGACACTTCACTAAAGAAGATATACAGGCAGCCAACAAACACATGAGGAAGTGCTCATGATCATTAGCCATTAGAGAGATGCAAATCAAAACAATTATGAGATATCGTCTCACCCCAGCAATAATAGCAAAGTTCAACAGAACAGAAAATAACAAAAATGCTGGCAAGGTTGCAGAGAGATTGGAACTCTCATACACTGCTGATGGGACTGCAAAATAGTACAACCATTAAGAAAAATGATATGACATTTCCTTAAAAAACTGAAAAGAGAAATACTATTTGATCCAGCAATTCCATTACTAGGAATATATCCTAAAGAGGTGAGAGACAGGACACAAACAGACATATGCACACCCATGTTCATCCCTGCACAATTGACTATAGCAAAGAGATGGAAACAACCTAAATGCCCATCAACAGATGAATGGATAACCAAACTATGGTATGTTCACATGATGGAATATTATGCTACATTAAAGATAGGTAGACATAAGTATTGATTTGGGTGAAGAGAAGGGCATTGTACCAAATGTGACTGATCAACATGATGGCATTGAGGAAGAGGAAGACAGAGAGAGGTACATGGGAGATATAGACAACAAAGATGAACCCTTTTGCACATACAGTACTGTGTTGTCAGTGAAGGCAAACATGGGTATACGGGTGGGTAGATGGGTGGACAGGCTGAACTATTGTGTATGTCTATGTAGCAGGTAGTGTACCCAAGACCATGTATAGGGTTGGCAGACAATGGTTCTACAAGAGTATGTGTATGTTCTTTAAGAACTCCCAGGGGTATAGCAGAGTAGACAAGGGACAAGGTTGTAGTCACTTCTTGGTCACAGCCAGCTACCCAGAGGGACTGAGTCGTTGAACTTGTGGGCTTGGGACCATAGTCACAGGGGGCATCAAGCTCAACTGACATAACATACTACACAAAACATTGTTCCACCTCCTACTTTGGCAAATAGCAACTGGGATCTTAAAAGCTCATAAGCAGCCATCTAGATGCAACGATTGTTCTCTCCTTGTCTAGAGCAAAGAAGAATGAAGAAAACCAAAGATTCATGGAAACAATTAGTCCTCATGACTGGTACACCATGTGATTCTCAGCCTATATGACTATAAGAGCAGAAGAACTAGATGGTGCCTGGCTACCAGTGTCAACCACTCAGAGCGGGATCTATGGTGGAGATCCTGGATAGAGAGGGAGAACAATGTGGAACAAAAATCAAAATCATTTGGAAAAAAAAAGGGAGACCAGGTTTGCTGGTCTGATAGAGCCTGGTGGAACCACTGAGATTATGGTCTCTAGCTGCCCTTCAGGTCTGGAATTGACCCCACACCTCTGGCTTCCAGCCAAGTAAAAGACAGACATAAAAGTTGAACATGTACCTGAGGTAGATACATTCCTTGGAGAGAACAATCATGGGAGAAAGAAGGGCTGTTTATGCACAGGGAGACAGTTAGGGGGGCAGGAGTGGATGGAGGGATGGACACAGGGAAGAGGTAACTATTGGGAGGAAATGGGAGGGAGGTGTTGCATTGGGGTAAACTGTCAATGTCATCAGACAACATATATATGAACTGCTGTATGGAAAGTGAATTTGCTCTGTAAACTTTCACCCAAATCACAACTAACTAATTAACTAACTAAATAAAAGAATAATGCAGAACACACAACGCATCTCACAACATGGATGAATTTGGAGGACATTATGCTGAGTGAAATAAGTCAATTGCAGAGGACAAATATTGTATGAGCCCATTATTGTAAAAAGTCAAGGAAAGGTTTACCTAGGGAAGGAAACTCACTTTGTAGGTTACTGGGGATGGGAGAAAAGGGGAGGGAGAATTTTGGACTAGTTGGGGGTCACATGTTGATTTGGGTGAGGGGAGGGACAGTATGGAAAGAGTCTGTGACCAGCATGATGACATTGGGGAAAGGAAGGACACTGACTTGCACGTAAGATATAAACCACAGAGACTAGTACATACACATGCACAATACCGCATTACCACTAACACCAAACACCAGGCTACAGATAAATGCATAGACAGGTGAAAAGATCAGGTGAGGATAGGTGAACAGGAATATACCCTAGACCAAGGATACATTTGGCTGAAGATAATTTTACATATGCACTTGTGCTACAAAATTAGCCACATAAATTACAGAAGCAACAGAGACAACCAAACACCTCAAGAGAGAGAATCACTGGGCCTGTAGACTTGGGATCATAGTCTCATCATCCTCAATGGGCACAACATAGTACATAAAAATCTTGTTCTACAACCTACTTTGGTGAGTAGTGACTGGGGTTTTAAAAGCTTTCAAGCAGCTATCTAAGATGCAACTATTGGTCTTCTCTCATCTGAATTTAAGAAGAGTGAAGAAAATCAAAGGCATCTGGACATCTCGGACTAATTGTGTCCAAGGATAAGATGGACCATGAGGACCTCAGCCTTCATGACCCTGAGACTGGAAGAATTAGATGGCACAACCACTCAGAAAAGGATCAAAACTGGAGATCCTGGATAGAGTGGCAGGAAAAATGTGGGATAAAATTCAAAAACACAAAAATGGTCAGAATTACTGGTTGGACAGAGACTGGTGGAACTCCCAAGACTATAGCCCTGGGTTACCCTTTGGGCCTAGAAATGGACTCTCCCATGGCTTGGCTCTCAGCCCAACAATGGAAAGACCTACATGCAGAACACCTATCCTAGGGTGATGCACCCACCACTCTAGGGAGATGCACCTCTTAGAGTGATCAGCCATGAGACACCAGAGGGGCAGAGAAAAAAAAACAAAAAAGAAGTAAAATTCTACTACACATCTGAGGTAACTAGTCTCTGTTTTTTTTTTTTTTTTCCCCTCTTTTCTCCTGCCTAGTCATACCTGATCATTCAGCCTGTCCACCTATCTATCCACCCATAGATCAAGGCTTGCCATCACTGACAATGCAGTACTGTACATGCAAAAGGGTTCATATTTGTTGTCTGTACCTCCCGTGTACCTCTCTATGTCTTCCTCTTCCTCAACTCCACCATGTTGATCACTCACTCAAGG